TTAAAACTGTTCACAGTATACAGTAATGTTAATGGCAGCATCTTCAAACCATTTGCATTATTAAAAGCCTCACACTGTTTGACTCACGTCTCAAAAAGCAATATTCCGCATCATGTAGTGAATTGTGTTCTTTGGTTCCTACCTGATCCTCAGCGTCTGTTTGTCCCGTGGTTATTATAGATCCATGGTTTATCCACAATGCTGAACAGGGCCGTTATTATCATAGATCCATGTGTGGGACAGGGCACGGAGCGCACAGGCTTCTACCACCACTACTACTGCAACTACTACCGATACTGTTACGGCTGCTACTACTACTACTACTTCTACTGCTTCCCCGACTACGTATTATTTATGTTATGTCATTTATTATAGACAGCAGAGTTGACTGCGGTTAGCCATGTCTTTGTGTGAACAAATGACTCGGACCCTCGCAATCAATGTTTCATAACTCGCCTGTTTGTATTTGATAAACCAATAAAACATTTGACGCAAGGTCAAAGCCCTATTCGCACAGGATTACCTGTGGACCTATGGTAATTTTCAAATTACCGCCCTCCTCTGTGAAACTTGCTGCACATTCACACAGGAGCAATGTCTGTAAATGATTATTTTCGCTGACATATTATATAGGGCTGCAACAACGAATCGATAATATCGATAAAAATCGATTATTAAAAACGTTGGCAACGAATTTGGTTATCGATACGTTGTCGCGCGATTAATACGTCACCGAGCGCGTGAGTTGGGCGCATTCTTGTAGTTCTGTGGTTGAGCGGAGAGACACACATGCACCACAGAACTACACAACACTGCATGCACACTGCCGTAAAACTCCACAGAAGAAGAGCAGTGTGTGGTGAAGGTGGTCATTTTTAATACAGTCTATGGTGGAGGCATTCATTCGAGCAAGAATGCGTTGAACCAGTGCAGAATAGGAAAGCGACGGGAGCGTGCGAGTGTTGTACCGCACTAACTTTAGCACAGAGTCAGTGGGAACAGTGTTTCTCAGGGTCAGGGCTATCATTGGGAGGTTCGGAGACAGGTTAGATTTGCAAAGAAGCCTGGAAGTCACGTCGGGGCGCAGCACCGCAACTCCAGCCTCTGCTAGTCTCCGGTAAAATCTCCGCAAATAGTGCCTCCCACAGATGTATTTTCGTGCCTCCCGCCATCACCGGGACAGTAACGTGTTGGAGAAACCTTTGTCTGATGTTAGACAAGAGAGAGGGCAGGGGAGATGAGAGGGCAGGGGAGATGAGAGAGAGGGCAGGGGAGATGAGAGAGAGAGCGGGTGGAGAGGAGAGAGAGAGCGGGGGAAACGAGAGAGAGAGCGGGGGAAACGAGAGAGAGAGCAGGGAAGACGAGAGAGAGAGCAGGGAGACACATTTTATGAAAATTCTAAAATCCACAATTTCCAACGCCTATTTCGTCATAATATGCTAATTAGATGGGTAGACTTATTCCCTACATAAAGCTTTTGGCCATCCTTAATAATTCTGTAATTTACAGAAAGTCTTTATCTCCTTTTATCTCACTTTTAAGTTACAGCCTTTTGAAATAAACATTTCCAACGTTTTTGAGTATATGCACTCAACAACGTACAAATACCCTAAAAATGACCTCATTACACAAACACGTCTTGTCTGTAATTGCTCTTTGGGTTAAACAACAATACCTGTTTTTGTGCACTTTACTTTATACTGCATAGCATACATTTGTATGTTTCTTTGTGTTGATCCATTTTGCACATTGAGAGACTGGAATTCCTGCCCATTCTTCCTTGCAAAACAGCTCGAGCTCAGTGAGGTTGGATGGAGAGCGTTTGTGAACAGCAGTCTTCAGCTCTTTCCACAGATTCTCGATTGGATTCAGGTCTGGACTTTGACTTGGCCATTCTAACACCTGGATACGTCTATTTGTGAACCATTCCATTGTAGATTTGGCTTTATGTTTTGGATCATTGTCCTGTTGGAAGATAAATCTCCGTCCCAGGTCTTTTGCAGACTCCAACAGGTTTTCTTCCAGAATTATCCTGTATTTGGCTCCATCCATCTTCCCATCAATTTTAGCCATCTTCCCTGTCCCTGCTGAAGAAAAACAGGCCCAAACCATGATGCTGCCACCACCATGTGTGACAGTGGGGATGGTGTGTTCAGGGTGATGAGCTGTGTTGCTTTTACGCCAAACATATAGTTTTGCATTGTGGCCAAAAAGTTCGATTTTGGTTTCATCTGACCAGAGCACCTTCTTCCACATGTTTGGTGTGTCTCCCAGGTGGCTTGTGGCAAACTTTAAACAAGACTTTTTATGGATATCTTTGAGAAATGGCTTTCTTCTTCCCACTCTTCCATAAAGGCCAGATTTGCGCAGTGCACGACTGATTGTTGTCCTATGGACAGACTCTCCCACCTCAGCTGTAGTTATCTGCAGTTCATCCAGAGTGATCATGGGCCTCTTGGCTGCATCTCTGATCAGTCTTCTCCTTGTTTGAGATGAAAGTTTGGAGGGACGGCCGGGTCTCGGTAGATTTGCAGTGGTCTGATACTCCTTCCATTTCAATATAATTGCTTGCACAGTGCTCCTTGAGATGTTTAAAGCTTGGGAAATCTTTTTGTATCCAAATCCGGCTTTAAACTTCTCCACAACAGTATCTCGAACCTGCCTGGTGTGTTCCTTTGTCTTCATGGTTCTCTCTGCGCTTTAAACAGAACCCTGAGTCAAAGAGCAGGTGCATTTATACGGAGACTTGATTACACACAGGTGCATTCTATTTATCATCATCAGTCATTTAGGACAACATTGGATCATTCAAAGACAGAATGAACTCCTGGAGTGAGTTTGCTTCACTGAAAGTAAAGGGGTCGAATAATATTGCACGCCCCACTTTTCAGTTTTTTATTTGTTAAAAAAGTTTAAATTATCCAATACATTTCGTTCCACTTCACGATTGTGTCCCACTTGTTGTTGATTCATGACAAAAAAATTAAATTTTATATCTTAAAACATAAAGATATAAAATTTAAAAGCCTGAAATGTGGTGAAATGTTGAAAGGTTCAAGGGGGCCAAATACTTTCGCAAGGCACTGTAGGTACTCAGGAATATACATATATGTGAATAGACACATTTCCAGGATAAAACACAGATGTCTCCAGTTGACAGCCAATAACCTGTCCAGCTTTACGGATTAGCTTGTCAATCCCGGAGGGGTCCCTTTTGGTGGTGCTGCCTCCCCAGCAGACCACAGCGAAGAAATGGGTGCTGGCTAGAGGTGCACCGATCCAGCTTTTTTACTACCGATACCGATACCAGAGCTATGGGTATCTGCCGATACCAATATTGACCGATACCGGAAATGATCATGCTAAAATGTATTTAATAATTGAACTCTTTGTTCAAGTAACTGCAAAAGCAGTGGATGAATTAAAGCGCTAAACTTTCCAGATAAATATTGATTCAACGTAAATGTGCAATACTGCAACTATAAAGAGCTGCTCAATGTTCACATTAAACATTCCAACACTGTATTATACCTTATACATTTATTGAATATAAATGTACTTATATTAACTGTGTTTGAATAAAAAAAACACTTACGACAAACAAAAGACGCTGCATGAAAATGTAAATAAATAATAGTACCGTAGCTTTAACTGGATTTCAGATATGTATTTGGCGACGGCATGTACCTGGGTTCCAAATGGTCTATGGGTCTGCGAGCCCAAACTGATGAACTCAAACACTTTCGGGTTGTTGCTGAAAAGCTTTTTGTGACGCTGCGTCAGTGTCATCTGTGTCTCGTTGTTTTCACGTAATCTCCTTTCGATGCAAAAACTCCCCATGCTGTTTCTCGTGGTGCTTAGTCGTGTTGCATTTCGCTAGTTTACCGCCGCGTGAACAACACTGATTCTTTCCTGCGCTCCATGCTGTGTTGTTGTTGTTGTAGAGCGCCACGAGGAAGTCACGTGTACGTGAGATCTGATAAATTACTTTTAATTAATTCATTTTATACGTATATGTACATTATGCACAATGTATTTTAAGACATTGTGCGGTACCTGTTATGTATTAAAAAATATATATAATTTTAAAAAAAAAAAAGAAAAGAAAATGGATCGGCAGCACGGCGCCTCTCTCTAAGCAGATATCCGATCCAGTATTTTTTCTGGTATCGGCGCCAATATCGATACCAGTATCGGATCGGTGCATCCCTAGTGCTGGCCACCACAGACTGGTAGATATCCAGCAGTTTGCTGCAAACTTGGAAAGACCCGAGTCCACCATCTCCATCTCTTTGCCCTGGATGGTGATGGGCTCAACTGGCATCCTCTTCCTTCTGAAGTCAACAACTAGCTCTAGATAAGGCATTAGAGGAGGCAAGACGCGGCTCTCCTCTCCTGAAAAGAGGCACTCATCACTTGCTGCTGTATATTGAATGATGAGTGTCCCAAACGGTGAAAACAGATTTACAATTAACTAAATAAAGTAAATAAAAGTTATGAAATAAATATTTGCCAGTAATAATAATAATGATGCAATGGTTTTATGCAGTTTTTTTTGGACACTCATAGACTCTTCTCATGTCATTATTCATTCACTCCATACTACCACCGTAGTGGCGATAAACTGCTACTGTAGCCACAGCTGCCCTGGGGCACACTGACAGAAGCCATTGGCCACTCTGACAACCACCAACCATTCACACACACACGCACCAGACTCATTCTAGGCAATGTGGGTGACACACTTTGCCTAGAATGAGGACACAACAGCAGTTTAATGCTCTACCAACTGAACTACTGTTGCCCGTGTTAAAAAAAAACATCAAAACACAACACAAACTAAAAAAGTTAATTGTATTCAATCAATACATATGTAACCGTTCATCACTTTTACAATCGTGGCGTTTAGGGCCTCTCCATCGATGCTCTATCAAGCCCAACTCTGGGGTCTTGAAACTATTATTATAATTTGTCTGTGTGTTTTTGTGCAGAGCAGCTTCATGCTCACTGAAATCCTTCCTGTTCCAAATGGAGGAAGCAAATTGGTGCGTTTAGAGGCCATTAATGACAAGTAGTCCCCTTAATCACAAAGCTGCGTTTCTTGTTAGCGTTCACCCGTCGCCGGCCTTTAGGGAAGAGATGGAAAACTCTGAACATTTGGGAAGGCCATCTGGAGGAAGACTTGTGAGAGAAGTCCCGGAGTGAAGAGAGGTCGTGGATCAAGGGCATGTCCAATAGGAAAGTTCTCATGAAGATGAAGTCTGGTTCGAAACTTGCACTGGTTCCTATTGGAGGATCTTTGTTTACATCTGCATACGCCACACGCTGGGTGGCAAGACATAGCAGCACATACAAAAGCTTGGATGCGACTTGACTTTTAAGAGACTCAGTGTGCAAAATTAACGTAAGAAGTTTGGAGAAGATATTAATACAAGCTAAAAATAAGTACGGGAGACCGAACTGAACAAATCCAAAGCCCATATGAGACTCGGATGATGACAAAAGTTGATCAGACGCGCCTTGGCACCGAGCTGCTGGGATACATTTATTCTTACTTCATAGAAAACCCGGGACCCTTCACACAAGAAAGGTTAAAGGCCTATGATTATTTGTTTCTAGAAAGGTTTGTCCATTTTTTTTCTCTGTGAATCAGAAATCAATGTCAGACCAGGTGGCGTCACCGCGGTATTCACATTTGCCGTGGGTGATAACAAAGGAGATTCTGAATGCCCGCAACCATTTCTCATTTTGCGCTGTTCTTTTCCAAAGGAATTCAAACCTTTATCTGGCCCCAGCGAGCCGTACAACCGACCACACGGCAAAAGTGGCCCATTTAATTAAGGAAAACCTCTCTTCTAACGTGTAAATCTAGATAGGTCACTAGCATCCAGGTAGTGTTCATTGGTGTTTTGCCACCCGGTCACCTGACCGGCGCGTAAAAATTATAAACAACGATGCCACTAATTTTTCTCTTGTGTGTTGTCAGAACCTGATGGCGAAAGCGCTGTATGACAACGTCCCAGAGTCCGCGGAGGAGCTGGCGTTCCGCAAAGGGGACATCCTGACGGTGATGGAGCAGAACACAGGCGGGCTTGAGGGCTGGTGGCTCTGCTCTCTGCACGGGCGCCAAGGCATCGCTCCGGGGAACAGGCTGAAACTGTTGATCGGGCCCATGTTCCAGGCAAGTGCACCCCCCTTCCCTGCCTCTCCACACTCCACCAGCGGGGGCAGCAGTGCGCACACACAGGCCAGCAGTCCTCAAAGCCAAGCTCAGGGCTCCGCAGCGGCTGCCTTGTACCAGGTTCCACCGCGGCCTTTGGACAACACTCCAAACAAGGTAAGACTGATAGTATGAGTAGAGCTGAAGAACATTAACTTTTATGAACATTGATCATCAGCCCCTTATGGACCAATGTGTTTGTTATTTTTGTATTTTTGTGTTTGAACTTTGTTTGATTCTCTTATCCATGCAACTGCTGTTGTGATTTAGGGCTATACAAAAATAAATTTAATGGAGTCATGGCCCATGCCCAACGGGACCGTACAGGTTGTGTAGTTGTATGATTACATTTTAGAGCACACTGTATATTAGGAGTGTATTGAGTGAGTGTGACATCACCACAGTGTTAGCCTTACTACGGAGGAGGCCAATTCGAACAGAAGCTAGAGCTGGAGACAATTTGCGGCATTATGTCTGCAGCATTGGCTTCACAAAAGAGTATTCTGGGAATTTGTTTAGTCCAAATGCGAACTTCTCTAAGATAGCAGAACTGTCCTCATTTGTTTAAAAAAAAAATACATAATTACATAATTTGCATTCAAATGTAATTGTTCATAAGGGGAACTTGATGTAAATGTTTGATATGTCTTATAAAACAGCTGTTGTTGTATACTTATCAGGTCTTTTCTTCATGGCAGCACTTAAAGCAGCTATTTTCTACAGACATCACACGTTTGTGATACAGTAAGTTAATGGTGGACCAATATGTGTTTGTTTTTAGTCTGTGATGCTTTGTCACTGAAACCATGAGATCAAAATCCTGCAATCTCTCTTAAATGTTAGCTCCAAATTACTGAAATGTTATGTTCTTCTCAGATTTGGGCTGTGGTCTTTCTCTGCTCAAATTCAGTTTAAAAATGTGTGTGTGTGTGACTGAGACAAAGACCTGCGCGGTGCCAGACTCTCTAGATGAGTGTCTGTAATCCTCATTCCCCCTGAGTCGCAGAACAGCTGTGTTTGCTTTTCGCCTGTGGAGGAGCCAGAGAGGGTGAGAGGGACCAGGGTGTGGTAAGGGACCAAGGAGGTGTGGAGAAACAATAGAGCAAAAGTCCAGCTGCACAAATCTTATTTTGAGGATTTTTAGTAACTATATTTTAGTGAAATGCAAAAACTATATTGACCAATTTTGTTGGCTGACCCATCCATCCATTTTTATCCCCTTAATCAATTTCTGTGTCATGGGGGTCAGAGCTGCCACCCAATGCTCAGAGCAATGGCCCCTCACTGATCCTCCTGCAGGTGGTGGGTACAGTGGCCTTGATCTTTCAGCCCAAGGACACAATGATAGCTGACATCAGTGGTGAAAAAGGTCTCGTGGGACCTTTATTCATAAATCACATAAAGCATACAAAGATGCCACATAATAAGTGCTTGACAGGTGATTTAAACCATAGAGGGTATATCAGGAGTGTACTGACCAAGTGTGATATCACCATAGTGTGACATGTCACACATTAAGTGTGACATCGCCTTAATGTGGAAGAGGGCGATTTGAACATAAGCAATCTGGAGCCAAGTTCCTGAAATGGGCATCTCCACAGCATTAGCTTTGCGCATTATAGGGGGCAGACTAACATGTGTTGCTATGACAGTTGCTAAAAATAAATTGGATTTTCTCTGCGAATGAAAGCATCTGATTCGTTAGTCAATATGGCTCATGTTTGGATTTAGTTGTAAAAATCAGGCGATAGGGGCATTGGCCTTTTGGCCTGAAGGTCGTGGGTTCGAGCTCCCACTGATGACTGCTATGGTTGTGTCCTTGGTTAACTTACTTAACCCCACTTTGCCTGTAACCCTCGCTGAAAGATCAAGGCTCCTGTGGACTCACCACCTGGAAGAGGATCAGCGAGGTGCTGGTGCTCTGTGCACTGGGTGCACAGATTTTGTTGGCTGTAAATGGAATACGGGAAAGAAAATGGATGGATGGATAGAAATCTGCATTCCTGCCATGTTTAATTCAATTGGTTTTTGGTTCGGTCTAAATCACGACAGCAATTATCTCAGAGGGCTTTACAAAGTTGTTGATTTCCCAACACATATGAGAGAACCAAACGGTTCAAACACAGGAAATACAATGATAAAAAAAAAAAACACATAGAGCCATTGGTCCATAAGGATTAGAAGAACTATGTCCATAAGTGTTAATCAATGCCAGTCCCTGTGCTCCTCAGAGTCTGAGTTGGTTCATGTGACGCTGACATGTAGGGCTGGACTGGCCATCGGGCGTACCGGGCAATGCCCGAAGGGCCGATGCCCATACTGGGGCCGGTCTGTCTGCCTCATACAAAAAACAAGTTTGTGAAAAGTGTAAATCCGTTAAGAAATGTTCGAGGGGAGCGCGCGTGTCCGTGGGGCACCTGCTGTATGTACTCGAACGGGATTCCACCACCTCAGCGGCCGCAGTGTTCCCGCATCCAGCGGCTCTGAGCTGGACGCAGGAACCGCTCACCGGGAACCGCTCACAACACGGTGAGCGCGTAGCCACAACGTGACCCAAGTTCATAAACGCGCACAGGACCATGCGTGTCTTTGCGTAATTTGTGCACCCAATAAATACACCGCTGCAGAAAACAGTCCGCGTCGCCCCTCTCCTCTAAATTAAAGGCAAGGCAAGTTTATTTATATAGCACAATTCATACACAAGGCAATTCAAAGTGCTGAACAAAACAAGAAAGCATTAAAATCAGAACATTAAAAAGAAAGATAAAAATATAAAATCCCTCAGTTGTATGCACAGCTAAACAGAACTGTCTTTAACCTGGTTTTAAACATTGTCATTGAGGAGGCCTGTCTCACATCTTCAGGAACACTGTTCCAGATTTTAGCAGCATGAATCTGAAAAGCTGCCTCCCCATGTTTAGTTCTGACTCTGGGCACTAACAGGAGTCCAGTCCCTGTGCTCCTCAGAGTCCGGGCTGGTTCATATGGGACTAACATGTCACTAAATATATTTTGGTGCGAGGCCATGGAGAGACTTGTACACAAGCAGAGCTGTTTTAAAGTCTATTCTCTGAGCCACAGGAAGCCAGTGCAGAGACCTGAGGACCGGACTAATGTGGTCGTACTTCCTGGTACGACCACAGCTCGGGTACCTAAATTTTCCATTGCATTAAAAGTTCATGTTTGAGCCCAAAAGTAAAATGTTGTCAACAGATTAAACAGATTTAGAGCCAGCTAATGGCTGACAATATGCATTTCAGAATTGTTTACCAATTCTCATCCCTGTAACAAACAATAGTATTGTCTGTGTCCACCTCCCTCACTCTGAGACATGTTTATTACTCTGTTTAATGTAGACTATTGTACTTTATTTTACTGTTGAAACTGCAGACATCCTGATCCTCTACAGTATTTGCTTCCACATACCGTATAAACCAGAGGTCGGCAACCTTTAGTGCCCCTAAAGTGGCTCCTGGAGCCTTTTCAAAAATGTCTGAAAATGGAGTGTGAGGGCTATATTTTATTTCTAGTTTGAATGTGGTTTCTGTAGGAGGAAAAACATTCTTAACGTTTTTCAATGCTGCAAAAACTTGTATAAGTATTACGTAATATTCAATTTTAGCATTTCTGTCAACGTAGTGCGTCATATCCTGTGACGCGGCCCGTGCCAGGCGGCCGCTGCTGTAAACAAACCGGCGTGTGTGCATCATAGACTGTGTGTGCGCATGGATCTCAAAGATAAAGAGAGAGAGTCGATAATAAGACTGGACTAAGTATGAGAATGAACATTTGCTTTCAGTCAATGAGGAAGGACTGCTGTTACCTTCATATAAGCCTTATACAACGCAGAAGTTGTTTTTAGTTTTTTTTAGGGCTGTCAAAATTATTGCGTTAACACACGTTAATACATTTTTTTCATTAATCGCGTTTAAAAAATTAACGCATTTGACGCATGCGTCCCATAATAACACTCAGAATGCCGCGGACACATGCGCGTGTATAAGATGGGGACAGAGCAGGTAGGGCCTCTGGGAATTCAAGTTTTGAAAGAATACACGCGTGACCGCGGGGCACTTGTAGTTTCCTGTATGAACTCTGCATGATGAGCTGCGGGCGCGACAGCGCTCTGGACAGTTCCCACCTCCAGCGTAATGGGATCATATCCAAGACCACGCACAGAACTATTACAGAACTATTCTCTAGTGTGCGTACGTGTCTTTGCGTAACCGATGCACACAATATGTACAGCGCTGAAGCTGGACTGCGGAGCCTCAGTCTCCTCCGTGTCTTCTCCCGAAGCGCACTCGCTAAATTAAAGCTGAGGTACCTAATTTTCCTTTCGACTACCAGTTCATGTTAGTTGTCGCAAAACAAGTAATGATGTGAGCAAATCAAACAGATTTAATGACATTCTGCATTTCAGACTATTTTGAACTGTCCCTCATCTGTAACAAACAATGGTTTTGTTCTGAGTCTAAACAGAAAGACAGAAATGTTAATAATGTTAATTCCATTTTATATGGATTTATTGTTATAACAAACAAATATAGTACATATATTCACTAAGCTGTCATTTATCTTTACATTCAAACAACAATTTACAGAAAAATATGGCATAATTTTGCCAATAGTTTGAAATGTGATTAATTAATTTTTAAGCTGTAATGAACTCGATTTAAAAAATTAATCGTTTGACAGCCCAATTTTTTTTGTCAAATATGGCTCCTTGAACCTTTTGAGTTGCCTGGGCCGCTAAGAAGGAAAAAATGCCCGGGCCGTTTTTTTGTCCCAGTCCAGCCCTGCATGTCACACACATCATTTTAATTCAACGTGATCATTTTGTATTAATTTATTTGTTAAGACATAATACATAAATAAATACAGTACAAAATAAATACAGTACAAAAAAAATATGAGTTTTTGTTGTTGCTGTTTTTTTAAGAGCATTTCACCTTCATGACAGTTACTCTGGGTTCCCTTCTCTTTCTGTATTTTGATTTTTCTTCACTGGGAAGGTTTAAAGCTTGTTTGATTAATGCATCATAATCCTTTCTCTCGGAATCAGTCCTGCTTTAACCAGTGAAGCCTCATATCCAGCCACTCATACCTGTCCTGGA